AACAGAGTTCCAACTAGCAGATATCTTCACAAAACCACTCCGGAAGACTCAAATAGACTTCATATGTAACAAGTTGGGCATGATTAACATCTATGCTCCTACTTGAGGAGGAGTGTTAGTTGTAAATAGCTATAGCTTAGGGATCTGTATGTAATTTATTATTGCTTATTAGTCCCTCTCTAATCCTATAAATAGAGGGCTCATCTAGTCTTGTAATTACACCTTATATAATATCAATTCGGTTTCATACCATTTACACGTCCCTTCACAGCTAAGAACTGGTTTTGACTGCTTTGATTATTGTCTCTTTGATCAAATCGGGCGGTATCTTCATCAGACGTATTAGTCACATTCGTCCTCGTCACGAAATCGTTCCTCAATTCTTCGATTTGCTGTACGATTCTCTCCGGACTTCTTTCAATCGAACCCACGCTGCTCTCCAAATCTTCAATTCGATTATTGGCACTTCGGGTCGTCACATTTGCCATGTCCGATCGGAAAGAGCTCTGATACCAATTTGATGTACCCTAGCTTAAATCGTAACAGAAATTTAACTCCACAGCCCTAATCGCAAGCGGTAAACATACAGTGGCTGAAATACAGTAGCTAGAACACGTCGATTGTAACATACAACAGTGAAAATCGTCGGCCAATCTATTGAAACATGAAATCGATGCAATTCCCAGACTTTCGAGAGGTCTGGGTACTCTCCTTGAGCTTACGCTCCAAACTAACTCCACCGAAAATACAAAACAGAATACCCACTTCCTCTAACAGCAACCTATTTAAGCAAGACGAGATTACCAATCTACCCCTCCCCTATTCCTGTTTACAGTAAGACTCGACAGCACAATTAGACTTAGCTTCTTCTTCTATACGTAAACCTCAAAGGAGGTTTATCATAGACTTTAAGCAAAGGAGAATAAATGGACCTGCAGTAAACTTCTATAGGTCAACTACAAGATAACTACATTATTGGCCAGAATGATGGGTAGTACCCTTTTTAACTTTGCTGCTATAGCAGAGGTGCGACAAACAAACTCCCAATATCCCTAGTGTCATTATGCAAGTTCAAAGACATTATTTACCTGGTAACGGGGAAAGCAGACAACCATCTTAGCTATAGCTCTTTCACAAGCCATGGCAAAACATAGAACTTGACAAAGCATATAGCTCTTGGTGGTTGTGACATTAAGTTCGTATTTTGCTGTTTGGGCTCAAAATAACCCCACCTTTCTGGTGGTTGAAGATAAAATTAATGGTTTTGCATCCTTGCTATGGCCTGTCTATGTTATGACCTTCAAAAACTTGTCAAGAGGCTATGAGAGAACCTTCTAATCAGTAAGTTAGGTGGTCCTCGGTTTATTCAACTTTCACATGAAGGACAATCATAAACCATCCAACAAACCGGCTGTGTCAACATCTATCGAACCTTCTTGGCATATTTCAAATAGGTAAGACTACTGCATAGCCAAGACAGATGTTCAAAGTATTGTACTTCATACTTCTACAGCCTTGAAGTCAATCGTGGCCAGACCTCATATTTTGGGTCTTTTGCTGCTCGACAAGATGAGAATAATAATGTAGCATTTTGGATTGTTGAGACGTCAATCAGGAAAGGCATGGATGATAATGTAGCCATCTGGGCTTCTGGTTGTTGTGTTTGACTCTTAAAGAGATTTGAAACAGGTTAACCCCTAGTGCTTGCTTCAACTTGTTATTTAGGCGTTTTGTACGTCATCAACGAACATATCAGTTACTATCATGGAAGAGCTCCCACCTTACATTCAACTTGCACTTGCTATTCATCTTTATTGATCATCATCCAAAATGCTAGTCTAACACTTCAAACAACTCAAAGCCCACACAAAGGTGTCATTTTCAGTTCGACTAGGCAACTATTTGTTTTAGTGGTTGAACTAAAAAGCTCAGAGATGAGTGAATCAAATGAGCAAATATGATAGTTTTTGAGATAACCCAGGAAGTTCTATATGAAATACAACTATACAAGTGAAGTTGTCAACGATTCTGCCATTAATAAAGCCATATTCCTAGCCGAGTATAGTTTGCTTATTTGCTCAGAATGGTAAGAAACTGAACCAAGAAAAAAAATGACGACTCTGAATACGTTTGAACTCCCTAAAGTTTCTATTATAACAATAGATAAATGGGTAAAATGCATCAAAATGGAACCAACTTTGCTTTCATTCCTATATTGGTAAAAGCATAATCAAAACTTCTCGTTTAAGAGACCAGTGACCAAATTCATATTCCCCAAATTATGTTTGGTGGCAAAGCTAGTTCCATTATGATTCCCCAAAATGAAAAGTTCATGGTTCCTCAAAAATCAGAAGTATTGGACCATGGTTCCCCAAAATTGGAATGAAAGCAAAGTTTTGGACCATTGTTCTCCAAGTTTTGTAATTGTTGATGACAACTATTACAAGCCACAGGATTTACAGACAGTCGCTTAGATAGCCAAGCATAGGATGACTAGAAGAGAGAAATGTCAGGATGGCAAAAGGCTAAAGGAGAAAAAAGAACTTAAGTCTATCCATAGAATAAAATATGAGCACACAAGTTGCAGAATCCAGAAAGAGGGTCTGTCAAATACAACTAAAGTCATAGTGAAAAATCTCATGAATGCATATGCCTTTTATGATGGTATCAAAAAGAGTTTGTTGCGAGGAGTAATTACAAAATGGCAGCATAGTAAATTTGTGATGCAAAAATGCAATAATCAATTACATATGAAGCTTGTAATCAATCCAAATGAAGCTTTCATAGTTTCATGTGATGACTACAAAATGTTAGCAAATGGCAACCATTAGAAAGGTGTCAAATTAAAGAATCTTGAGAAAAGAAATTTAAACTTATGAACATCTTATATGGTTTGATCAAATAAATATTACCTTTCGTTCTTACGGAATCCAAATCGTGCACCAAAATAGAAAGCAACAGAGAGCAACCACGAATCACTATGAACTGCAACTAGTGATAACCAGTCCTTCTCCTGCATGCCATCCCGAGCAAAGTTTATACCTAAAGCTGGCTCAGGAAGTTCAGGAGGCACTTCCTCAACAGGCAGATTGACTTCCCATCCTTCATTTGGGAGACCGTATAAACACAAGTTTTCCTTCTCTGTAAAGTAACACAACAGAAGCTATAACTAGAGATGCAAGCAATTTATGTATGTATATGTACACAAACACACTAACCTTCTCATGATCAGTTTACACATAGAATAAAGAATGATTTTTTAGTAGATAACATATAGCACCATCAATGGATCAAAGGCAGAAAAAGGAAATGAAAAATAGTGTGAAAGCCTTTATGGTTTCGACGGTATGAAGCAACATCAACATCAGCTATGTCAATATCCATCTAATATTTACAAAAAAAAAAAGCCATCTTCTTGGATTAGAAAAGTTAACCGTGAGCCTCAAATTGACATTCGAGCCCTTTGATAGTATTGCAACTCGTATGAACTACGATCCTAACTTCTTTATATTTAAAAAGCGAATGACTACAGGGAATTTGCAATGGTTAAGAAATATGGACTGTTAGTTTCAAAATGTTATACCAGCATTTAAATCAGAGACCGATACCCAGAACCATCTTATAAAAAAATTTAAAAGAATATTCAAGTACCCAAGGCACGAAACAGGGTAAAATTTAAGAAAGGTCCATCATTTACAATCTAATTCAAGCACACCCATAACCCGCTTCTGCAAAATGAAATTGACTTCCAGGGCACAGTGAGCAATTATTAATCTATCCCAAGGATTACCATTAGTGCCATTTTATGAACTGTCAAAATAGTATATAAGAATATCAGGCAGGGGTAGACACCGTTCATGTGACATCCAATCAATGGCTCACTGCAACTTCCATTGTTAAAAGGTAGCAGAACTTCAGCTACTAAGCCATGTATAAGAGAACGTAGCTTCCATTTGAGATTGGCAACATTGGAACAGCTTAATAACTCAATGCACTAAATTCACATTTTCCAAGGCTTGATTAAGTCCTAATCAAACATGTCTTGTCATAACTGTTGGGAAATGGGAGATAAGAAATCCTAGTCCTCTTTCTGTTATGGCACATTTTTATGGGATTTATGTGAACTATGCATACAACATTCAACAAATACATGAAAACAAACCATCATAAGTTGGGAAACAAAAGTCATCCCTAACAAGATAACACGGATACCTAAGTAGTGGTTTGAAATACAAAAGCAGTTATCTTTGAAACTTAGCAATACCTTTTCATTCTTACAACCATTTGCTCACTTGGAGCATCTTCATTAAATAGCCAAACAAACAAACCACAAACCCATAATATACAAGTAAATTAAACACTAGAGGGCAAACATTATCAAGCTATAGTAGCTAGAACCACATAACAAACTAGTATTATAAACAAGAACAGATATCTACATTTATGAAATTATGTGTCTTCTTGTGAAAAATTACATGATCTAAACATGTAATGCTGCATTTATGTATTGTAACAAGAAAGCTACTCCCTCTGCTCCAAATGAGCATATAAAAAGAAACCTGGTCTTCGTATCATCAAAACTCAGAAACTGAATCCTCCTTCCATTCCATATAAAAAGCTACATCTTAACTTTGAATATTTTGCAAGTTCATATTGGTATAAATCATACGCTTCAATAGAACATTTTGATCACTACGTTGAACTTGCTAGTATTATTACAAAATTAAAAAATATTGGTAGTGTCCATATCATTTTGTAGTATCCAGCAAGTACTAGTGTACTACGTTTGGCATCACAACCATTGAAGTAGTAAACTACAAATAGTACACATTAGGTAACGAGAACTTCAAAACAAAAGGTTTATATCGAGTTGGCAATTGGAATAACTAGGTTTTACTCACAAAAGAAAAACTAATGTCAAGTCTAATATTGAATTAAGAATATAAATTGTGTATCTGTGAGAAGAGCCCGAAAAAAATAACTAACCAGGATCGCACAACTGATAGAACTTCTCAACGTCTGCAAAACCACAATGCTATAAGAATCAGTAGAAACCCCACCAAACACACAAACTAAAATAAAAGAATAAACAAGCATCAAACTGCAACATGTAACATATCACCGAGAAGCAAACAAACAAAAAATAAAGCATACCGGTGGTAAGAGCTTTGATTAAACCAGCTCTTCTTCCTTTAAAGTCATTGAAAACCTCCTCTGCTGTTCTGGGTATCGGATGCTGTATGCCCTCCATTCAATCAATAATCTGCTGTACCAATATCACCTCCACAAACAAAAAGCGACGACAATTATGTTTCTAGAGGCATGTAAAACAAAATATGAATGAAAAAAATGGGAAATAGTTAAGAGTATACCTGGAGAAGAAGTATCGAAGAATAAGATGAAATTGGGGTTTTTGGAAAAGCTAGGGTTTCTTCTCCAAATATGCAAGCATATATACATAAATAAGGATGAGGAAATATGAAATTGAGATTGATTGAAAAGTTGGAGGAGAAACGAGACCGATGTCGTACCGATGGATTTATGATGAGAAAACAGCGGGAACGATTGAAAGGGTTTTTGGTACGAAATGGAAAAAGGCTTGCTTTGGTTTTGGTTTTTCTTTTTCTTTTTCTTTTTTCTATTTTTCCTTTTTAACCAAATTAAACCCACAATTTGAGAATTATTTTGTCATGGAATCGTGGTTTAAATAGAATTATGATCTAAAGTTATTCATTAGCGATTGTCTTGAACAATTTTGGTTGGATTAGTTGGGTTTTATTATTAGGTTGTTCATTGCTTATCTGGATAAAAGTTAATTATCGACAACTCTAACTCATCTCTAAAAATACCAATGAGAAAAGACATTTTTTGGCTCGTTCAGCGGTTGAGACTAGCGGGGGCTAGGATTAAACCCCAAGAAATGTCTTGTATATACTATATTATAAAACATTTGACAAAAACTCTTAAAAACAATTTTTTTGTATAAAGTACTTTTTATTTATGTATATTACTTAAAATTCTAGATTACAAATACAAAGTGCATGAGTACATCTTATTAAAGTTCTATCTTTGAATTCGTATAATCTATACTATACTATAAAGCATTTGTCAAAAACTTTTAAAAACAACTTTTTTTTATGCATAAAGTACTGATAATTGATGCATATTACTTAAAATTCAAGATTACAAGTAGAAAATGCATTAGTACATCTTATTAAAATTTTATGTTTGAATTCATATAACTAACTGCAGATAAACATAATCAAATACATGATAAACATCATTTTAGATATAAAAAATCTAAAATATAATAAGATAATCATTGAGTTCTAACAAAATACTTAATTATTATTTTTTTAAATTATTTTATTAACTCAAAAATTAATTAGTTCGTTATTAAACTTCAATTTAATTATAATAAAAATTTGAATTAAAAAAATTACACAGAAACGAACTTTTAAATAGTTAATTTTATATTAAAATCTCTTTTTTTCAAAATTTTATAATATTTTTAAATTTATATTTCATTCAAAAATAAAAACATTTTCATTTTCTTAAAACCACATAAAATCGCATTATAACATCGATAGAGCCAAAATATAAAACGAAACATTAAAATTAAGATGTATCTCGCTGCATTGTGCAAGTACTGTTCTAGTTTAAGTAAATTCATCTCACTCTTTTATCAACTAAATTACACGTCAGAGACAGATCCATCGATTATTGATGTTTTGTTCTCGAGTTTGAGAATATAAGGAAAGAATGATGGGAAAAGAAGACAAATAAAAGAAAATTGTGTTTGTTCTTGAGATGGAAGGGAAAGTAGAGAAATGGAATAAAAGAAAATAATTTTTTATTTTTCTTTCTTCTTATTTCTTTTCCCTCCTTAAAAGATTTGGAAACTTTTATTTTCCTTTCCGTTCCTTCGGAAAAAAAATACTCGAGAACGCTCCATGAAGCAATTTGATCGGGTCTACGTTCGGTTCCATTACCTTGTCCACAATTTTGGGTTCTTATTGATTTAAGGTATAATGTTTGATTTATTATTCTAACTTCTACATTTTGAATCTGTTGTTTTTGACATAATCGGTTTCTCTATGTATACCTCATATTTTCTATTACTTTGTGTATGTTAAACGTATCTTGTGTGCGGAACGATATGTATAAGCTGGAAACTTTTTATTTTTTATACTTCTTTATAGAGTTGCACATAGACAGCTCTGGAAAATACCATTTTGGTTGAAGTCTAGTCAAAGCAGTTCGAAAAAACTCGTACGGATCTGAATCTGACAATGTAAACATTGAACCAAACTAAAACCAAACCGGCGATGTAGTCTGCTTCAAGACCCATTTTTTCTAAAGAAGTTCAACCTGTCGCATTGTTCGGGGCTTTTGATAAGGTCCGTCTAGAAAATAAATTAATAGATTTAAAAATAATGTAACTATAATATCTTGACTAGTCTTTATTTGGTTTGAAAAGGAAGTTCTTTTATCCGGTTTGATTGAAAAAAAATACTTGATCATCGAGTCCTAATTGTTTTTTGAACCTTGATATCTCAACCTTGACTTGGTATAGATTCTTCTCTCTACTTCTCTAGTTCTTGTTGATTTGTTAATCTGGGTTCCGGTGACAAGGAGAGTTAAGGTGAGAAGTGTAAGAAGAAATCTCTACCCTTATATGCATATTAGGATGAGATGCACCAGATTAATCCATGTATCAAACGTGATTCATGAGTGAGTTTGAGATTAAAGGTGATCAATGATCCAAATATCTTACTACGCTTTTCACCTTAACTCCCCTTCTCACGTGATCCTTCACCTTGTTGATCTTGCCTCTTCATGTTCCTCCCCATTGTTGTTGTCGAGGGCTCTCCCTCTCAAGCTCGACTATAAAAGAAATGATTGGTTATGGTTTTATGTAAGACCAAAGTTTAACCGATTAATTAATTCAAAATCAATAATGTAGCTCATTTGATTTGCAAAAATATCAGGTTAAGGTTATATATCTTGATCGAAATTTTCTGCTTTAAACTGACTAGGATCATTATGAAACATTTACCAGGTAATCGTTTTTCGGATCAATTTTCCTATGATCATACTGAGAATATTACCTGATAAGAGAGAAGACAATGATGAAGCGTCTCTACCTAGTAAATGAAAGAGATAAGAATCACTCGGTAACATTGTGTTCTCGAATTTTGAAAGGAAAGAAAAGAAAGAAAGTTTTTTATTCGTGTTCTCTAGAGTGAAAGGAAGAAAATAAAATAAATTTTCATGTTTTTGAGTAGGAAAGAAATAAAAGAAAATGTGTCATTTTTACAAATCTTTATTTATTTTATAGTAGGTTGATGGGTAAATGTGTAATTTTATAAATATTTTTTAATTTTTATGAAGTCTTTCCTATGTAAAAAAAGACTCAAGAACATAACGTAAGCGCTTACCAGGAGATAAACGCTTAGGATCAATTCATTTTGGTGTTTAAAAATGTTACCCAATAAGTTAAGTGAGGGTTGCGACTCTTGTATGTAAGTGCTTATCAAGGATGGAGCTAGGAATTGAAGTTAGGGGGTGTCAGGTTGTCGATGACATTCTTTGTTGTTGAATAACAATAATAAATCTTGTCTGTTGTTATTTCCATTAATCTTTCGAATAAAACAAAATGTTTTTAAGGTCGGGAAGTATTTTGAGATTGTGATGTATTCGTTCAGTGAAAAAAATACGATCACTGTTTTTATTGAATATTGGGTGAAAATTAGGCAATATATTGGCAGGACAACGTCGATAATATGTCCTATTGGGACAACCAACTGATGTTTGCCGATAATTGATCACTTTCTTCGATATCAATCTACAAACTTGAGCATTATTTGCCAACAAATACAGTCTGATATTTTCAAGTATGAGATTTCATCTCATCTTCTTTGAATAGTTGTAATTTTATGTTTTATTTTATTTTGATTTATTTGTGTTGCATATATTTGGAAAACAATTGTAAACATTTTCATAATATTATTTTTAAACTACATTTGATTAATATGATTCTAAATGAGTTATTTTTTTATGAACGCGCTTAAGCAAATTGATTAATTAAGATAGGCACTTCACACAGTGAATCTAATGGGCTGTTTGGCAGTTGCTGAAGGGTTTGATGCAAAATGATTAAGTGATCAGAATGATTAAGAGTTCTCGTGATACAATGCAAAATGAAATATAATTGTTTGGTAATTGTTTACAATGAAATTATGGCGCTGAATGGTTAAGAGTGGCTCACGATATAAAATCATTCAGAGGGTTTTAGAACCATTAAGAGGCATACTTTTTTTTGTCAAACAATATTCACCTCTTAGCGATTCAGATACTGCCTCTTAATGAAATTATTAAGAGGTAAACAAACAACTTCTAACAATTGAGTATCAAAATAAAAAATCAAAAAAAAATCTAAACTTAGAAATTTTAATCAAAATGGAAGAACCTACATTATAAAATTGAAACTTCAAAACGAGAAGGTGGCTTCAATGACTGGATTAATGAAGGTGATGAAAGAGTTTAAAAAGGGGCTAAGTAGAAGCTATCCCCACACTGTGTGATATCCTAAAATGAGTTAATAAATAAATGTGAAAAGGAAAATAAAATAAAATTGGTTTTTATTTAATTAGACCAAAAATGTGAAGAAAACATGAAAAAAGAATCAATCATGTCATTTAAAGAAAGTGAGAAGTGAAAAAATAAGTTTATATTCAATCGGATAAAAAATGAAAGGAAATATCAAAACATGGGTGAAAAATATAATATTAGGCAAAACATTGAAGCCAGGGAGCCGAATGTAATTACCTAATAGTTCAGGGCATGTGTTAGCATCAAATTCATCATTTTTGAGGGACATGTTTGGACAAAAATACAAATTTGTTTGAGAATCAGATTTTGAAAACGGTGGCTAATTTTAGGATGCTCTTATTGGCCCGTTCATAAATTTGCAGGTTTAAGTAGCTAAGACCTTCCTCTACATTTTTTATTCAAGAAGATCGAGATTTCGCTGAGAATTGAGGGAGAAATTGGAGATCAAAATTCCCCATCTGAAATCTCCGTTAATTGACGATTAGAGGTAAAATACTCAACCAAACTTCAAGTTCTTTATATGATTAGCTTTGTTTTTGAGTCATCTATCAAACTTTATTAGTCTTATATCTCAAATGTTAGTTTTGAAGGTCCGATTTCGAGTGGTTTTTGGACCTGAACTTTAAATGAGAAAATAAGACTCAATACTTGATGTGTTTTGTTGATTCGTGTTCCTATGGTTGAGGAAAATCAAGTTCTAGACTTTTAGCAAAAAGAATCAGCGAAAACAAACCAAAAACAAGGCCAAAACTGCCTGAAGAAGTTGTTGCCTGCGACACCCCTACTTCGGGTAAAAAACATGGATTCGGGTCAAATGGGTGCAATTCTCGGGTCTAACTTGGATCTGGTTGAGATGGAGATTGGTCTGAATGCTTTATGGGCCGAGAACTTTCCCCCTTTGAGTCGT